ACAGAATGTGACAGACTGAAATTTTGGGACATAGTACCCCTTTTATGGTCCACACATTTCTTCCACCGGTGTTGCATTGGTGAAGATGCTTTATTCCAAGTGTATAATTGATACAAAATTTAACCACTCAGATATTATGCAAAGTGCAAAGAAAGAAAGAAAGAATATTTGAACGTAAAGTGTTATAGGATATTACCCATAATAATAATAATAATGGACTATTCCATACTTAATCACTACTGCGCCTCAGGAGTAGGCAAGGAGTCAGTCGTTCAAGCCGAAGGGCGGATTCTCTTTCGGGGAGGTAAACCGATCCTGAACCTGTTTATATGGGTTCAATGGGCATATTTTTGGCCGAGCCCACTGGATCAGAGATCCCACGTTAAACCGGCCTTGTGCAACATGATGCCCACGTCGGGGGGTGACTAAATATAGTCAGTAGTTCAAGTGGAGTCAGTAGTTCAAGTCGAGTCAAGAGTCGAGTCAGAGGCAGTCCGAAACAGAGTCGCGTTCAGACAATTACTACAAGACATTGGAATAGTGATATTGGTCGAGACTACATTGTTCTCTCTACTAAACCTGATTGTTCATACTAACACTTCTACTTCTCTGTATATATTCCTGTTTGTAATATATCTGTGTTATTCTATACCTGTGTTCGAGTTCATCTTTATTGGTTCTACCTTGGACTATCACCGTGGTACAAGGAATCCGGACCATAGCATAAAGATTAATAAGCAATGAAAAAGTACTCTCGACTGGATCATTTAAAAATAAAGACTTTTTATTCCAAATAAATATAACAGAAAACAAGATTTATGGTGATATATATACGTAATTAAAAAAATGGTTAATTAACAGACCAAACTCCCCAAGCAAAGCAATTGTCATGCACTTTGCTTAAACCTTACCCAGGTGAAAAAATGATAATCATTTGTTATCTCTGTGCATTACTAAAGTGTGCCTAAGATGGAAAATCCCCCTTTTTATATCTTCCTAAATGTCGACAGAGGTGTTACTGTTGAAAATTGCATTGCTTGTCTTCAAGAGAGAATATCTCATCCTGCTATTCAGAAACGTGTAAAATCTTAAAACATCCTAATAATAGTGTCTACAGATCAGTGAAATAGCCATAATTTTCAAATGACAGTTTCTGTCAGCCTGAATGTTGCTTCTATAAAACCTAAAATGAAAATAACTGTTCTGTAGCCTTATAAAAATAAACACTCTAAGAACTGACATAAGATTTCAGATATTCAAGAACATTTTCTGGTTTGAAGAACACTTTTAAGATGGTTGAATAAACTCTGCAAACATAGCGTTTCAGTCCTCAAAGAACATGGCAGACTCACTGATAGTACTGTCCATTTCTAGGCTCCACGATACTAATTGATTTGACCATGTTCTCTGGAGCGATTAGACTTGGACCTGTCTACCACTTCTTTAGAAGGCTGTCTCCAAATGTCAGGTGACACATTCAACCCCGAATGCCTGTCTGCTACGTTAAATCATCGAAGGAGAGAAATAGTGGTGTGGGTGGCTTCTGCATCTGATATTGGAAAGTTTGCATTAATTCGAAAAGTTCATTAATGAAAAGCATTATAATATACACAACGACCACTGTCCCATAATTGTTGTTACATTGACAGTATGAAATAAACCAATGCACGTCAACACTATTATGGGACATGGGAGCTGGTCGGGTGTTTTACTGCGCAGCGACCCTACTTCCTCTCTGTCCTATAACAGTTGTTGCATTTGGACTATGAAATATTCCACAATTATTATGGGATATACGTCGTATAATTTATATGTATTACGATCTCTCTGTCCCATAATATTTGTTGCATTTAGCGTATGAAATATGACTAGAAAAGCCTTAGCTATTATGGGACATACGGTCATATAATTTATACCTATTATGATCTATCTATCCCATAATAGTTGTTGCATTTAGAGTATGAAATTTGTCTACAAATGCTACAACTATTATGGGATATATGGTCGTATAATTTGTAGGTTTGACTTACTTTATTCCATAAGAGTTGTTACATTAAGAGTATTGAATACCTCTGTAAATTTCACAACTATTATGCGTCTTATCTCGTATAATTTATATTTTTTACTATCTCTGTCTCATAATAGCTGTGTCATTTACATTATGTTTTGTGTCTGAAAATATCACAACTATTATAGGACACAGATTATATAATTTCTGTTTCTGAGTTTATCTGTCCCATAATGATTGTTACATTAACCCGAGAACACTAACCATGAGTCTACAGTACCCGGCGCAAATTTTCCTATTTTTAATTACAATTTTCAGTGCCTGATTTTCTTACCTAAATAATATGTTTTTCAGTTCCTATTAATGTTAACTCAAAATACAAAGTTTGAAGTGCCTGTATGTAAAATATTCCAAATAAAAATTTATATTTAATATATATATTTTTACGGACCTCATCAAGTCTACGTAAAGTTAACGAAGTGAGGGAGTGAGGTGGGAGAGAGGATATGAGTGTGTCATATGTATCATTTTAGTTTCCTATTTTAACCCCAGTGTGTCGGCTAGATGTTGCTCAAATTTAACGCGTCTCGTCTCTATATATAGATGGCTAAGGGTGAATGATAAGAACGACATTAAAGGAAGAAGTTATAACAACTTCAGATTTTGAAAATATCAATATATATATATATATATATTGATATTTTCAAAATCTGGTATGATATACCCATGGTTAGTAGTCGTGTAACTATAATTGATGGTTAGTGTCCTAGGGTTAAGAATATTGAATATGTCTCTAAATCTCAATACTATTATGAGACAGAATTAATATGTTGCACTGTCTCTATGCTGTATATTTAGTGTCTGATAAATGTTCGGAACTCTAACAACCATTATGGGACAGTGGTATTTTTTTTCTTGTATGCAAAAGAATGTTATGTTTCTTTCAGTCAATAATTCATTCATTGGATCAATTTTACTCGTCGACTGCTTTCAATGCCTTCAATATCCTAAACTTTCCTTCAGCAGAGATTGAACTGATGCTGTATAAATCAATTCATCTGATAAGCTGACACATTAAGTTAACTGGAATCGGGATGACTACATTTAATAAATCCTGCCATCTATAAGATCCTTTTCTTCGGAGAGGTTAACAATTTTTTTTCATATACCTTGCGCTGTACTCACTCTCATAGAAACTTGAACAATAAAATCCATGAAAGCCTCTATATTGTAAAAAGGTTTGTTCGTGTAGAAAATTGGACTTCACAAAAATGACTCGGAAGTCAATAGCGGAATTTAAAAAATAGAAAAATTTGAAAAACAGAAAAATTGAAACATCAACATAAATTCTGAAGACATCATCAAAGGTGTCCATCGGATAAATCATCATAGATGAGCTATCCCAGGGTAAAGGACTTCTTTTCATTTGATTAATAGCGAAAATACAAAATACGATATTCATTTGCTATAACATTGTGATGGGTATATACATTATTAGCAATGAGAGGAGAGAAAATCAGCAGGAAAATAGGTGTTGACATAGAGTTGAACTTGACGTAGAGAAAGTATTTAATATTCATACCAGAAAACATTTTTAGAAGGTTTAATCGCTATTTTTCTACTTTCACTTTCACTTTTATAACTCTTCAATTGATCTATAAGCAGTGTTTGCTATATTCTCATTTTAGTCACGAGAAATGTGACCTTAAACTAGACTTGATTCATTCTTGTTTTCTATCTATTATGGTCCGGTTCCTTGTACCACGGTGATAGTCCAAGGTAGAACCAATAAAGAAGAACTTGAACACGGATATGGAATAACACAGATATATTACAAACAGAAATATATACAGAGAGGTAGAAAAGTGTTAGTACGAACAATCAGGTTTAGGAGTAATTGTCTGAACGCGACTCTGTTTCGGACTGCCTCTGACTCTGACTCGACTGACTCATTCGCTCTGACTTCTGACGGACCTCACTCCAGACTTCAGACTGAACTCTCTGCTTCTTCTTGAGGCGCAGTATTTATTACGTATGGGATAGTCCATTATGTTATTATGGGTAAGGTCCCATAACACTATCTTAAGACAATACATAAAAAGATGACAATACAAAGTTATCTTTTTTAGTTTACGTAACAGGGGAACGCAGTGAACTTATTTGTTAGATTAGAACACTTTTTGTGCACAGTTGGTCGGTGGAATCCAGTAAGGACAGAACTGTCTAAGAACAACTCAGTAACTCCACAATATCCTCTGATTTCATGTAACGTTTTAATCATCATCTTCAACATCAACATCATCATCAGTCCTGTGACCTAGTGAGGTAGTAGGGTCGCCGCGTAGTAAAACACCTGACCAGCTCCCTCCATGTATCTCAGTTACGTGCCAATGTCTACGTCTCTGTGAATGATCTGCGAGTGCACTAAATGATCTTGCCACACCTTATTTTCCTCTGCCTGCCTCTTCTTTTAAAGCCTAATGCAAATGATAATGTAATATTAGCCGTTTCCCTATAAGGAAACATTTTGAATTCATTGACCGAGCTGCCAGTACAGCTTTCGATGGAAGTTTATAAAAAGTCACATAATTTTATATATAGATTTGTTCTGTGTTCAATTTTATTTTCTCCTAAGGTTGTACTATATAGAATGGCAGGGGAAAGATTGTTAGACTTTATGAGATGGTTATATCGTTTCTTTTATATGTGAGCTCCTGTTTCTTGTCTTATGGCGCCTCGCACTGCATCGTTTGTGACGCGATCAACGTAGGTGGTGTCTAGGATAATTTTATAACCTCTCTTTACTAATGTTTGTGGTTTTCGTTGTAATATCTAAGATTCGCATGTGTGCAGGCAGATTTAACTTGCCAATGCATGCAATAATCTGATCTGTGGAGTCAGACATGTTTCTTTCCAGTTCCTAGTTTTACGATATCTGACATTGTTTATAATTCTCTTAAAACTATTCTTTATTATAACACGGCGATGGAAAATGAGGTGGTTGTGCTACGCAACTCCTCAGGAGGAATCGAACCTGCATTCCCATTTTAGGGTGCAAAACACATTAGTTAGTGTTGTGGTAGGATCCACCTAATTTGCATAGTGGAGTACCGACCATATAAATATGGTTGGTACCGGGAAGAGAGGAGGAATCAAGAGATTCAACCAGAGACTTGCCTGACTGCGACTCAGTCAACACATTCTCCAGGAACGGTCTTACCAGGAATATACAAAAGACTATATGTAAATATTGTGTATACTTTCTTGTTTCAATACATTTTGTTCTAAGTACATTTTGTGTTGCATTATTATTCCATGCATTAATCAAGTTTCAACAGTAAGCCTTAAGGAGGTCATTACAGCACGACTTTTAAAAAAGTGTAAATGCTTGGTTGAGACTTTCAATTAAATGTTGTTCTGCAGAAGGATGCTGAGAATACCATGGACTAAACATGTAAGTCACGACGGATTTTAATAGAGAAATGTCTATTTGTTTGACATCAGAAAGAAAGAGTAGAAAATTCTAGAGCACATAATGAAGAAAGAGGGCTTAGAAAACTTGACACTCACAGGGCATACTGAAGGCAAGGGGGGCATAGAAAAACAACGTATAACCTTTTTTAAGCACTCCACACATAGTAGGGCAATAAAGCCACTAAGACGCAAAGGATTAATGATGTTACGGGTACTTAGTACGTTGATGTTTGATGTAGGAAACACGTGTCTCTGGAATGTTTATCCCACATCAAGAATGGCGGAGTCGGTTTGTGAGTCCGGATAATAAATACAAAGAAACAACTAATACCAATATATATATATATATATATATATATATATATATATATATATACAAAACAATAATGTATTATTGATAACACTGTTGTGAGGACAAAGACAACGATATTGTATGTATGTAACAAAACACTGAACGTGCATGAAAATATTTTAAAACTAATGAATTGTTCGTGTATATAGAATGTGTGTAGAAGTTGTAGAGAAAATGAAGTTGCATACGTAGGTGTGTGTGCGTATTTGTGTGTGCGTTTCCCATTGGGAAAAGCGTTTTCATGATACACCTACATCCTCGCGGGTCTAAGATTAAATAGGGAAAAGATAATGATAGAAAACAATACAGTGCATTTATAGGTTCAGAAAGCGTCCTCTAGTGGCACTTTTTGTTAGGAAAGTAAGTGAGGTAACTCCATACTGAGTGTTAGAGAGTATATGACAAAAGGAAAAATACTATTAAGGAGAGAGAATAATGAAAGAACAAGAATGAAGAAAGAAAGAACGTAACGATTGACATTACATTTAACTTCTTGAAAATCTACTTTGACTAGAAAACAAGAAGCCGGAAGAGATTTCCACATGCAAGAAGTGCGATAGAAGAAACTGTTAGGATAGAACTCACGGTTACATCTAGCAATTTCAACTGTAAAATGATGAAACCTTGCCGCCAATCTAGTTCTGTGCTTAAATTCACAAAGTCTAGCCACCATAGAGGAAAGCATTTATAGAAAAACTATTAGGTTGGTGACGGATATCGTCGTTTTTTGACGTTAAAAAATACGTCAAAAAACGACATTATTACGTCATTATTTTGCACCAACCTAATACCTGAGCAGCTTGTGTAAATAGTTACTAGAACAGGCATTCGGGGATATAGCAAAAAGACACCATTTACTAAGAGCTATAAAGGACAAGAAGTTGTGGAGGGCCATGAGAAGACACGGCACATAGATGAAAAAAAGAACAAGAAATTTATAAAAAAAATATGTTTACCCTCCTTCCTTTTTTTTTTTAAATGTCTACTTATCTTTCGCTTTAATTTCTACTGATATCACTTTCTGTCTCACGTCACTTCCTCGCTTCCATATTATATCAGTTTAATATACTTCTCACTAGCTTTTATCATTCTCTTCATTGTCACTCCTGCTAATGCTCCACCCGGCTCCGCCCAGCCCCTGTCAGTGCCATTGACGCCGTCAACGTTGGACACGTAGTGATGGAATCAATTTAAGCCGCGCGCGACGGGCTGACATTCTGCACGAGATACAGACATCCATAATCTGTTTGGAAACCACCCACTTCACTTCATTTTCCCGCCAACGAATTTTCGTCCCTCACATTTATCCCCCCCCAACCTACGTCCCTAATTACGTGCCCTTCACTAAAATATCATCTGCCCGTTTCTCTTTACGTACGGGGCAGGGGGGGTTATAAGTTCCTTTCCTCTTTTCCGGCAGAAGCCATTCTCTTTCCTTTCTTCCCTTTCGCCCTGTATTCTTCTCCTCCTCCTTCTTCTTTTTCTTTTTCTTCTTCTTCATCATTATTATTATTATTATTATTATTATTATTTGCCTCTTATTTTCTTCATCTTAATTTTCTAATAAACATGATCATTATTATCAGTCTACTTTCGGCTTAATTTTGTTGCTTATACCGGTTTGCCGCCATCTTTCTTCTCTGCCTTCTGCAATTTTCTTCTTATTTCCTCCTCACACTCCTCCTCATTCTGTGACCTTCCTTCTTCCTCATCTTCTTCTCGACAGCTATCCGTCTTTCTTTTTTCTTTGTCTTGTTTCTTCTCTTGAAACCATTTAATATTCTTTCCTTTTCAACCCTTCATTTTCCTTTTTCATCTGAACTCACTCTTCACTTTTACTTTCTTCTTATATTCATTTTTATTATTAGGCCTTTCTTCATCATCATAATAACAATAATAATCTTCTTTTTCTTCTTCTTTTTAACACCACCTACATCAAAAGGTTTCTCTTTTGTTTTTATTCCTAGATATTTCATCATCATCATCATCATCATCATCATCTTCTTCTTCTTCTTCTTCTTCTTCTTCTTCTTCTTCTCATCATTTTCATACCCATATTATACTTAATTTTATTTGTTATTGTTGCGTTGCTTCTTCTTCATCATCATCTGCCCCCTCCTTCCTTTCTTCTTCTTCTTCTTCTTCTTAACACCACCTACATCAAAGGGTTCCTCTTTTGTTTTTATTCCTAGATATTTCATCATCATCATCATTTTCTTCTTCTTTTCTTCTTCTTCTTCTTCGTAATCTCATCGCATCGCTCTGTTTTCTATAATTTCACATTTTCTTCTGTAGATTTTTTCTTTTTGGTTTCCATTTTTTTTTCGCTTCTTCCCTTTCTTCATAAATTCTTACCATACCTTTTCTCTTTTTTGCCTCATTTTTCAATCTCTAACAACCCCCGCCCACGTTGTTTCTGTTCTTTTTTCGATTTCTTCATCATTCTTTCTCGCTTCTTTATAATCCATCCAGCATCTTCTTCCAACAACTTCCACCTCATTTACCCAGACATGTTTCCTCTTTCTTTCTTTCTTTCTTTCTTTCTTTCTTTCTTTCTTCTCTTTTCAAGTCCTCCCTTATCAAATCTTGACATGTTCATTTCACTTAGTATCCGTTTCCTTCTTATTCCATGTCCCTTACTTCATTCTTACTCTTCCTTTACCTCTCTTTATTTCTCCCTCATTCTTACTTCCTCTCTTTATTTCTCCCTCATTCTCACTTCATCTCTTTATTCCTCTCTCATTCTCACTTCCTCTCTATTCCTCTCTCAATCTTACGTCCTCTCTTTATTTCTCCCTCATTCTTACTTCCTCTCTTTATTCCTCTCTCATTCTTACTTCCTCTCTTTATACATCCCTCATTTTTACTGCTTCTCTTTTTCCCTTTATTTGAACTCCCACGTTTCTTCATACTCCACTGCTTTGTTGTTGTTGTTTTTGTTGTTGTTGTTGTTGTTGTTGTTGTTCTTGTTCTTCTTCTTCTTCTTCTTCTTCTTCTTCTTCTACCACTACTACTACTACTACTACTATTACTACAACTACATTAATTCTGCGTCATTTTCTTTATATTTTTCTTCTTCCTTTTCTTCTTTTTCTTCTTCTAATTTTCATTATTATTATTGCTCTCTTTCTTTTTCTTTTATTTCATTTTTGCTATTTTCTTCGGACTGCTCTATTTTTGTTCTTCTCCTCCTCCTTTTTATTTACACTATCTACATTGTTTGGACTGTTGTTCTCATCTTTATTGCCATATTCACGACGTTTCAGCGATTGTACGTTCTGGCCTTCTTCAGGTGATTGGAATTTCGAACCGAACCATTTATTTCGCCCACCGGGGTAGAGTGTTCTATTTCCACATGCCATGCCTCTCCCGGATGTCTCAGTTATCTCCGTTTAACTCAACTCTCCAAGTTTTTGTTCACCACTGCAGTAGACATGTATTGAACTCACAACTCATTGGGTCAAATCACTGGATCCAACCAACGGTTTTATCCATTGGGTCATGTGTCGTTGATTTAAAGGGGGATAACTGAGACATCCGGAAGAGGCATGGCACTTGAAACTAGAATTATCTAGACAGGAGGACGAAATAAAGGGTCCAGTTCGAAATTCCAATCACCTGAAGAAGGCCGGGGCGAACAACGGTCGAAACCTCGTGAATATGGCAACAAAAATGAGGACAACTATTCGAACAATTTAAGTAGTGTAAATAAGTACAATTCTTCTTCTTCTTCTTCTTCTTCTTTATTCCATTATATCTCTCTCTCTAGCTTTTCTTCTTCATATTTTCTTCTTCTCCTTCTTCTTTCTTTTCTCGTTATCTCTTTCTATCTATCTGTTCTTATTAATGTTTTCTTCTTCATTTTCTTTTTCTTCTTCTTCTTCTTCTTCTTCTTTATTCCATTATATCTCTTTCTCTAGCTTTTCTTCTTATTATTATTTTCTTCTCCTTCTTCTTCCTTTTCTTTTTATCTCTTTTTATCTATCTGTTCTTATTAATATTTTCTTCTTCTTTTTCTTCTTCTTCTTCTTCTTCTCGTCCATTTATTCTGCGTCATTTTCTTCTTTTTCTTCTTTTTTCTTCTTCTTCTCCGTTACTCTTATCCGCTTTCATTATTGAAATAACTATGTTTATCATTCCCCCTCCCCACTTACTTGCCTCCTCTTCTTCCGACTCTCTTGCAAACTCTACTTTTCCCTGTCACTTCTGCTCTTTCTTCTGTCCTTTTCTTAAATAAGGAACGCTTTTTTTTTCATCTATCAGGTCCCAGTGTCTGTGGCTCAATCGTTTCTTCTTCTAACAACTGGAAATAAGAAACTAGTGGGCCCCGACAACACAAGCCACAGACGACACAGCCTTCTAAATGAATGCCTGTTTCCGTTAATCCAAAAACAAGGTTCATTTCCGAACAACAAGATTTCGCAGGAGCTAGGGGAGAATAGAAGAATTATGTGATTTACAAACCAATAAAAGTGAAATTTATGACCAACGTTACCTATGGCAGATAGATAGATAGATAGATAGATAATTAATACCTGGAGCTAGCTAACTAGCTAGCTAACTAGCTAGCGAGCTAGCTAGCTAGCTAGCTAGATAGATAGATAGATAGATAGATTGATTTTGTTTAGCGGTATATAAAACTCTATGGGTTATTTAATGCCGTAATATATTTTGAAAACAATTGTATGGCTTCAACTGATATTATTTTGAACGCAATTGTAAGCATTCAACTGCAGATAAATGTACGGTTGATCACTTTGCTATAAATATGTATAGTTGACAAAGTATTTATATAAAACTGTATTGCTGGTATTTTACGATAATAATGTATTTTTATCATTTCATAGTATTTTGTTTTTGTATGGGGTTCATTATTTTCCCATAGCTGCGATTTTAATAGGTGCTATGACACCGGGTAAGGATGGACCCGGGAACAACAACAAATAAGTGGTGGTTCTACGCTTCTCAAAAACTCCAGTCTCTCGATCAAAGGCCTTGCTACCAAGTATAGATAGATAGATAGATAGATAGATAGATATGAACAGAGTGGGATAGATAGATAGATTGATTTGAACAGATTGATTTTTTAAATTATATTTTGCCTATCGGACATATGAATAGACTTTGGAATGTTTATGTTTTTTTTCCTGTTTGTTGAAATACTTTCGAATATTTCAATTTCTCTTCCTCTCAGTCTATGAGAGAACATCGGAATTTTTGCGTGTGTGCATCCTTTTTTCACACGCACACACAGATATATATATATATATATATATATATATATATATATATTTATGAGTTTGAGTTCAAATTGAGCCTCATATATTTGATAAAAAATAACACAAGCAGACAAATATGAACAGAGGACGTTCATAAGTACCTGGCTTCTCCCTATCCTCAAACTTTACAAGAGCCAGATCAGGCAGAAAATGGAGTACTACTACCATATATGGACAGGAGCTGCCCAGTCTTCACTTTCCGATTCCGATACGGTCCAAAATCGTATCGGCGTCCTTACGGCTGACAAATTATTTTCCGCCCTACAAACCCTTTCTCACAGATGAAACATCACAAAACTCTGGCTGCGTTCTCGCTATTTTCGTGGAAAATGTTCAGATGAACTACATTCCATTAATGTCACCAGTTTTAACCTTCCCGGCTAAGAACTGCCAAGACATGCACTTTGTAGCAAACAACCTTTCGTATTCCATTGGTAAGATATAAGTTGGACTTGCATTTTCCAACGAACGGCTGCTTTGTGGTTCCGACTCCCACGAGGATACTTCCCCGATCATAACAATCTTAACCAATTCAAGTCTAAGATTAACAGTTATCTTCCCCATATATTCTCCTAAACTGTACCTCTTAGGTTTTAATCTGTAAGCTTCTATTTCGGGCCTTATAAAGTGTGAACCCTAGTTTAGGATTAACTCTTATCTTGTCTATAACCCTGTTCCTCGGGTGGCTCTTGGGCCTTGTACAGGATGAACATTGTGCAAAAAAAAAAAAGTGTTAAAAAATTCATTTTCATTATTTGTCGTTCTATTTTTTTTCCAAAACCGATAATTCACTGCATACAAATTGTAAAAAAAAAAAAAAAAAAATATGTGACATTTGCGAAGATGGTACTTTCGCTGAGTGTAATGTTTGTAAGCGGTTCGTTAGGTGCTGAAGTGGAAGTTTCGAACTGGAAAACGGAGAATGTTCCGGTTGATGGGTTCAACTCGAAAACGCTCATTAAAAATAATCGTGTTCATACGACGCAGAAAATCACAGGCAGACTCCACTTGTCTCATATGACCGTTGTAAGGCAAATGAAAACACTTAGGTACGTGAAGCACTACTGCTCGATTTGACGAAAAAAAAAAATCCCAGTTTAAAAAAAAATACGATCACAGGCGATGAAAAGTGAATTGCTTACAACAATGTGGAGCAGAAAATGAACCGCTCAGGAAGGTGACGCTGCATATCTGGTGCTATTGGAAGGCTACTGTGTATTAAGTATGTTTTTTCCGCAAAATCAAACGTGAAAATTCCGGCAAGTTCTGTTCCCAATTCAACTGATTAAGGACAGCAATCGAAGAGAAGTGGAGAAAATTGGTCAATGGGAAGGTTGGGTTTTCCATCAGGACAATGACACATCATTGCAGACTAGGCAGAAATTGGTACAGGTTGGCTAGAAGGTTCTACGACACTCGTAGTACTCACCTAACTTTGAGCTTTTGGGTTGCGACTTATTTCGATCCCCACAAAATCGTCTTTATGGGAAGAGCTTCAATTCTCTAAATGACTGGATAAACCATATAGACTAATTCATTAACCAGAGAGATACCCATTTCTTGGAGGATGGAATCAGGAAAGGCTATGGAAAACATAGCACATTTATGGTTTAATAAATCTATAGAGAAATTATTGTCTTTGAAATTCACTTAAAAATGCTACGTAAGTTTGTTTCAACTTCATCTCTCTCGTGCGCTCTCTCTCTCTCTCACACTCTCTCACTCTTTCTAAACACACACACACACACACACACACACACACATATATATATATATATATATATATATATAAGGAAGAGGTTGTAGTAGTTCCAACGAGTGAAAAGTGTGTATATTAAAAAGGAGAGAAACCGCAAACGTTTTTGGTTGTAATGTAGATTTTTTTTTTAAATATTGTGCTTTATTTTCCATAATTTTACTACACGTGTTTCTACTACACGTGTTTCTGGTCTCGCGACCGTCTTCAGGTAAAATGGCGGAGATTTCCACATATTATTAAAAATAATTATTTTTTTTCTTTTATGTTTTTCGATGTTAAATATTCTCCATATGAGACATTCTCTGTTTTTGTGTTAGTAATCCGAATTTCTTTCTTGAATTGGCAGTGAAGAGTTCTGCGCGAAGGGTAATAAAACAATTAAGGCTGGTCCGAGAAAAATGATGAATTACTTATCGGTATCTTATCTTTTAATATTTTAATGACCCTTGTGTGTTCTTAGATCTATTTCCATTTTCGTGTGTTTCTGTCAGCATGCGTGTATATATGCGTGTGTATATTCCCTCCATACATACACTGTCTCACTACGAGGAATTAGTAAACACATTTGTACACACACACACACACACACACACACATATATATATATATATATATATATATATATATATATATATATATATATATATATATATAATTTAAATAAAAACAGACCACTTTAAGGTTCTATGTAATAAATTATTTAAAGTAGTCTTTTTTTATTTAAATTATTTGCTCTGGATTTACATTGAGCTCTCTGGATTTTATCCTCCTTGGGTTTACCCATACGGATTACCTAGCTTTTCATAAACTATATATATATATATATATATATAGAGAGAGAGAGAGAGTTATTCCAAAAGAAAGATCAGATTCCGAAAGTTTAATGTCGATGTACGCACATATATAACACATAAGATTGAATGCTTTTCTCGGTGTGTGTGTGTGTGTGGTCGTTTGCGACTAGTTCTTGTGAGTAGTTGTCTAAAATGTACCCTCATATATACACATAAACGGTGAAAAGTTCAAACGGACACGTTACAAGCTTTAGCCAGGTAAATATAACGCACAATTCTCAGAATGAACTCAAAATAATTCAGAGTTTAACTATAATTGAAGCGATTTTATCCCGAAAAACGTGAGGTGACATTGCTTGTATTTTTTTATATTATATTGCTTAATAAGAATTCATGTAAAATTTAATGAAAATTGTGCTAGTTTTCATATATCCTTGTATAACAGATTAAAAATAACTTTATTTATTTATTTATTTTCGCGAATGTAATTTCTAGAATATGGGGATATAACCACGACACATTATCCGGTAAATGGTGTTTTAATTAAGTAAATATTTTTTGAATCACGCTCAAGAGATGAATCTCATGTAAGCTCTCGCGGCCACGAGTTCTTACATGAGCATTTAAGAAATTGATAAAAATAGAAAAATAAAACTTATGCAGGCTAGAATTACAACACAAACAAGAAAAAAATTAAAAGGAAAAAAATGCTATGAAAATTGGAAAAGAAAAAACTCTTTAGACCAGCATATTTTTTTAATGAATAAATATGTTTGTTACGTGTTGACTGTTTTTATTTATTTGTTACTTTATTGTTTGAAGATGATTGAAAATCATTTATAAAAGACAGAAAAAAACATTCCCCAAAATAAATCATGATATTTTCATGTGAACTGTGAGGGTTAAGAGATCTTTTTTAAGGTCAACACCAATGAGTGATAATTCCACTGAAGCAGACGAGAAAGGGCTGTTATTTTCCCGCCAGTGAATGACGCCATTTTTGCAAATGACTGATAGTTATAAGAACACCAGGGTCAAGGGTTTCTCTTCTTTTTTATTAATTTCCACCTGTTTTTTTTTCTTTCTTATATATAAGTGCATGGCGACGTGAATTTTTCTTTTAGTTGCGTGTATATTTTATGATATGTATGTATATCATTATCAGTTTTGTTGCAAGAGAAAATGTGTATGTTTATTTATGTCTTAAATTGGTAATTAACATAATAAGAATGTTCTTGCAACATTTAAGATATGTTGTACCTTTGTTGTTAAGATATATAACATTGTGGCGAAGTTATTGTAAAGTTGTTATAAACTGTTTTGCTGATCCCAAGCTAGCTGCGCATCCCAAATGTTTTCACAACATTTTTCTCTCTAGAATCTGTCTTCCATATTTATAAATCTA